CATAGACGACTGGCTACTAGTGGCAGACTCGGAAGCACCTATGTCGAACTGTAGATTTGGGGGTGGAGCCCTGGGAGAATGAGATTTGGGGAGGGGAGGGACCTCAGTGGGGAATACTGTCCACCCTCCAAAGCAGCCATTTTCTCCAGGGTAACTAATCTCTGTAGTCTGGAGATCAGCTGTAATTCTGAGATATCTCCAGGCCCGACCTGGAGATTGGCAACCCTACTGGCAGGGCTATTTTTGGGCAGGAACGCACAGGAACGGAGTTCCGGCTGGCTCCTGAGTTGGCCACACCCAGCAGGAACTCATTAGCATAATAGGCCACACCCAACAGCAGAAACTCATTAGGATTGGCTACATTAGGGGTGTGGGGCCTAAGATGCAAAGGAGTCCCTGCTACAAAAAAAGGCCCTGGATTTTGACAACAAACAAGGTAAACAGAATAAGAAGCAAAAGGTGGGTGTGGCTGGATGACCACACTTTTGGCAACAGGGGGCTGTGACCTAATATGCTAATGAGCTGTGGTGTCAGGGTGTGGCCTATTATGCTAATGAGTTCCTGCTGGGCTTTTTCTACAAAAAAAAGCCCTGCCTACTGGAGATGCATGAATGCAGCACAATGCTGTGTGAAAGCGGGGGGAGGGATCTGCTCCCAAAAGTATTGAAATTGTGGTAAATAACTGTTTGGAAGACATCGATGACACTGAAAAAATGTTCCAGTTTGAAAGCAAAGGTGGAGCAAAGCATCTGTGCAGAGACTTTACTACTTTTTTTTCCTTTACCCTTTGCCAATTAATTATTAGATATTTTTTTTCTCACAACATTTTCTTTTCTTTTTGGAATCAGTGGCTTTCATTACAATTAAAGTATTTTGAGGGGTTTTTCTTGTTATGACCCTGGTATCTTATCATGATCATTCTACCTCGCTTAGAGGCCTAAACTGGGTACACACTTAACAAGGAATTCGCTGCCAGAGGATGTAGTGATGGCAACAGGCATAGCTTTAAAAGGGGATTAGAAGATTCATGGAGGATTGGTCTATCAGTGGCTACTAGCCATGGTGACTAAAGGCAACCTCCATGTTCAGAGACAGTGAGCCTCTGAATCCCAGTGTCATGAGGCAACAGCAGGAGAAGGCCTCAGCCTCTGTGCCCTGTTGTTGGCCCTCCAGAGGAACTGGTTGGCCACTCTGTGAGACAGGATACTGGACGAGATGGACCACTGATCTGATCCAGCAGGCCCCTTCTTATGTTCTTAAGAAACAAAGAAGAAACATACAGTTCTTTATTTGAATAAGAGCTTTTGAGACGCTTTAGTTTCCAGAAAGATTATGCTGGCATAGCTACACAAGCTTCTAGTGATGGAAAGCCATGAAAAATTCTTATGTCTATGAAGATTCGTGGAAGGAGCCTGGAGATACAAACCTATCATTAATGTGGGACCTGGGCCAGGAGGGTAAATTCCCCATCTGTTTGGCAGAACAGAAATGCTTGTGAAAGCTGTTTTACTAGCAACTGTGTTTCAGCTGCCTGTTCAATGACTTATACAATACCTATATCAGATGACAGCCTAGTTGTGATTGCTTGACTTGGGGAGGGGGGTTCACATGCCCAAAAAGGCATGCTGAAATCTTGGTGCTAAGTACAGTGGGGCTGCCTGTGATCCTGGAGGGTGCTGGGAGGGGCATCATAGTGCATCTTCTCCCATCTTCACTGGTTTCCTTCCTTTCTGTCCTTCAGGGAGTGTTGCTATTCCTGTGCCAAAATCTGCAAAAATGTCAATTCCCTAAGATCTTTATTTTGTTTCTTTGTGCCTACAGGGATTTACGCATTTGCCAGTCCATCAGCACCTCCCCTTCCTTCAGAAATAGGTGAGTTAGTATGGTTACTTCCTTCTGTTTCTCCAACTCAGACACAATTTAATTTACATATTTATTTACCTTATTTATAATCTACCTTTCTCACTGGGTTTCCAAGATGGATTACACGGAGTATGTCAATACAATCAACAGGATGGGACATCTAAAAAAACAATGCAATATGATTTGTATAGTAGCTATCTAGAACTAATGAGAAATCTGAAAATAGAACTGAAGTGAAGCATAACTATTAATATAGTATGTTAAATGATGCAAAAATTACAGAGGATTCTGCTTATAGCAATAGACGGTATGCAGTATACAGAGTAGTATAGACCACAATCTCTAACTCTAACTCAACTGTCTTTCTGAACCATTTTGTTAGAGTGCAGCCCTATTAAAGGTAAAGGTTTCCCTTGCTCAAAAGCTAGTCGAATCCGACTCTAGGTGCTCATCTCCATTTCCAAGCCAAAGAGCCAGTGTTGTCCAAACATGTTTCCGTGGTCATGTGACCAGCATGACTAAACCTGTGTAGAAAAGCCCCCTTGAACAATTAAACATGATGTTACAGCATGGTTCACTGGGTAAACAATAAGGATCAGTTTCAACATTATACTTCCATCATTTTAAAAACCAACCAGGGGAAAATGACTGAAATCACAAATCTTTATTGTACATGTTTCTTATGACTTTGCCATAGCTTGTGAGGCTCTTGTAGAGACCAGTCATATTTGGGGATCATTTTGCTGTATTTTGGAAGCTTGGCTTCAGTAACTTCCCATAGGTCAAATTGGAAAGAAAGAGTAAGATACTGCTTAACTCACATCTGTGTTAACACAGGGCAGATCTTAGTAGAACAGCAGCTATTTGTGGTATGTCCAAAGCCCAGAAATCATGACTTGGGCCTTTAAAAACGATATTGTACATGGTACAGAGACAACTGATTTCTGTCATCCACACAGTTATTTGCTTGGCATGTAAGTGAAGCAGCACAAACATTTGAGAGGTATACTCATCATGTACATGCAATGAATTACACCCATGAAGTAAAACTTGTGTGCCTTTGCATGCAGCACTTCAAGGGATTCTGGGACACAGCTTCTGAACCTTGTGTGGCAGCCTTGTGGGATGGACTAAGAGGCTCCCCCCTCAGTCTGAGGGCCAGTCCTTGAGCCAGAAGAGCCAAGACTATTAAGCATGGGGGGGGGATCCTCAGACTGGGTGGCACATCCATGAATGGTCTTCACCACCTGGAAATAAAAAGCCAGCTTTGCTGACACTTGAACACAATGGAGTAATTTCTGATGTGCTGTAATTTAGTTACAATGGTTCATAAATATGTGTGAATCAGTTCCAGTAACTGCAATGGGATTAATTATTTTCTTCGATTTAGGTTCACAAAGTAGTTTGGGAGACAAGGGAGAGTATGATGACATGGGTTTTATAACTCAGGTGGATCCTCAAACACCGCAGGGCTCATCAACTGAGAAAGAACCAAACAACATGGAAATGCAGAAAGGTATGGATGTGATAAATTGGGTGGGCATATCATCTGAAGATTATGTTTTACAGCCCATTGAAATTGTGAATTGAGAATCTGTGAAGTCTTTCTTTTGGGTTGGGAGTGACAAATAGTAACTGTTAGATATTGCTTTTAATCTCCCGACTATTCATTGCAGCTCATGTATTTCACATATTGAAGACTGATGTATATTTGAGAAATATTTGGAGATTTATGTGATGTTAAGTCATACATGATTCATATTTGTTCATCCATTTCCTTAAATTACTGTAAATCCAGGAAGAGGCCTTTATTTATTTAATTTTTTTATGCTCCCTTCTCATCCCTTTCCATTTCCCAGTGACTGAGTCTTTAAGGCAGCTGTGTTGTGGGCTGCTTATTAGCTTTAAAAAAGAAATGCCAGAGATTCTGATTACAGAACTCATCACGTGTAGTTTAGCCTTAACTTACTACCTTCAAATATACATTTTTTTAAGGATAAGAAGCTCTAAACTTGTGAGTCTCTTTGCACATGGTGAATCTGGGGTCTGAAAAAGAATTCTTTGGTTTGCTTCACTTGTCCTTGACTTTGCTATTTTTGCTACTTCCTTTTTTCAAATGAGGTGATAGAACAGTGCATAAAACAGTTTATATCTTCCCTCTGTCTCAAAATAGAAGCTAGGAGCCTTGCTTTAAGAGTGCATGCATGCTTGCACACGCCTGACTTTGAGGCCATCCTGATGCACTCAAGCCTGGCTTCTTGTTATTAATTTGAAAAGGGAATTTCCTTTACGTATTCATTCTAAGAAATGTCTTCATTAACAGCAAATGATTTCCACTCCACCACTGTTCTCTTCCACAGCTTTTTCCAGCTCTCAGGCTGCACAAGTGAAAGACAACAGAAGAAGGCATGAGTTCATTCTTTATGGGATGATGGTCACATGCTTTGTGATGTTGGCTCTATTCATCTTCCTGTTCTTGTCGAAGTGTAAGTGAAACCCCACCAGAAAAACTGAGACAAGGCTTAGTTTCATGTGAGATCTGGAAATTAGAAAGTGCTACAGAGAAATTTGTACTGAGTGGCCACTGGGGCTGGGTCTCTGAATTTCAGATATTTCTCCTCCTGACCACCAGCAGGGGTTTTGGGGGGGATACAGTGGCCATGTCCAAGTTGGGAAACTCCTGGAGATTTGGGGGGGCAGGGAACTCAGTGGGGTACAATGCCATAGACTGCACACTCCAAAACATCCATTTTCTCCAGGGGAACAGATCACTGTAGTCTGGTGATTAGCTGTAATTCCAGAGGATCCCCAGGTCCCTCCTGAAGGCTGACATCCCTACCCCAGTTGCAGTATGGGAGTTACTGTTTTCCCAGGCATACCTTGGTTGCTGTTCTGCTGTAGGGTGGGGTAAAACTCCAGAGGCCATAGGGTTGCCAGGTCCCCCTGGCTGCTAGCAGGTGTGGGGTTGCCAGCTCCAGGTTTGGGAACTACTGGAGATTTGGTGGTGGAGCTGGGGAGGACAGAACCTCAATGGGGCCCAGTGCCATAGATTCCACCCTCCAAAGCATCCATTGTCTCCAGGGGAACCTCTGTAGTCTGGGTATGAGCTGGGGATCCTCAGGTTCCATCTGGAGGCTGGCATTGTATCAGGCCTTCATCAGTTGCCACTGACTTTGAGAGAAAGCTCAGAATTGTTTATAGACTGATCTGAGAAATTGTTGCCATGTTCGTTCTGAGAATGAGGGGGGGGAGGGTCCTAATTATTTAGCATTTGAAGTATTTCTAAACCACACTTTAAAATTTGAACTTCTTGTAACAATTTTTAAATATTTTTCTAGATTTATAATCCAATAGCTTCAATGTTCAGATTGAACATTTAAAACGAGTCTTACAAAAGGAATTGAGTATAATAGAGCCTGATGAGATAGCTGACCTACAAGGAGCATCTCCACTGTCATAATTATTAGTAAGGTCTGACAAACAAGACCCATGTCTCAGTTTTAGTCAGTTTAGGAAGGAAGGCCAAGGGAGGATGCACACAGGGAGCGTGGTTCAAGCAAAGCTTATTTTGACAGAAGTATGAGGAACAGGATAGTCCTTTCTCCATCCTTTTTCTCTTTTTAGACTCAGAAATTTCAGAGGAATTGAAAGAGCTACACTTGAACAACTCCGAGATGACAATGTCTGGTAAGTGTTGTGGCTCTTTCATATTATATTCCCTTAATTCTCTTAGGAAAGACACTGATGAGGATGAGGGTGGCTTTACAACTGAGGACCAGTAATGTGAAATGCTTTAGGGCTCTTTTTGTAGCAGGAACTCCTTTGCATATTAGGCCACACACCCCTAATGTAGCCAATCCTTCAAGAGCTCTTCTTACAGGAGCTACTGTAAACTCTTGGAGGATTGGCTACATGAGGGGTGTGTCGCTTAATATGCAAAGGAGTTCCTGCTACAAAAAGAGCCCTGGTAGCCCTTTCTGGGCTGTGTAGTACCATTACACTTATATCAGCTGATCTGATTATGTGACCATGTGTAAAATGTTTGTGCTATCCATTAGATCATAAGTGTGATCTGAAAAAGAATGAAGTCAACTAATTGTATTGGTGTGAAACATAACAATAACGACTCCACCAATAGAAACCACTGTGACGCCTGTGAGTAATGCCGAGGCCACAGAATCCAAAGCAGGAAATGTCAGAGTGACGTATGGCATTCCATTAGTTCCAGTGTCCAAAATGTAGCTACACCAGTTGGCAGCCAGGCCCCGCTAATTCTGTCATATAAAGGCTGATTTGCTCCATTTATATATCATACATCTCCAACTTCATGAAAACAATAGCTTTCTTTTCCCACAAGAGCTCTTCTGATTCAGACAGTTGAAAAAATTTAGTAAGGTGTGAATTGTTATGTATGCTCAGATTTCTAAGCAGTTATGGTTTGTGCTAAGGTATCCTAGCTTCCTCTGTTGTGATTGGCTGCATAATAAAGACATTCTAGTGGTCCTAAAGCCATACAGAGTATCCTATCAGAAATCTCCGCTTAGGTCCAATCAGACCTCATGAAAGTAGTTACATTGTATGTAGTTCAGTTTGGAACAGTATAAATCTGGATGCCGCTCTTCGCAGAGTCAGATTAGAGCTGAGTAATGTTCTGCATAAAAGCCTTGTACTGATAATCATCTCCCGCCTTTCAATACTTAAAATGAATAAGCACTGAAAGTACTGTATGCTTCACTCTGACATTGCTATTGATAGTAGGAACACTTTGAATGATTGATTTAGTGGCTGAGCAACAGCCACCACCCTCTAGCTCCCCAAACTGCAAGTCACTGTGGACATTTTGATTTGTCTTTCAGTGCTGAAGGACCTAGATGATATCCGAGCAAAGCAAGAAATTATTCAGAAATCTCTAAGAAATGACTTCTCTGAACTTCAGGGCATCACTGGTGAGAGAACATTGGGATAGTTCTATATTTTAATTGTGTCCTATGACAATCCCCCTTGGGGCTTCTCCTCCACCTGCTCCCCAAGAATTCCCAGGAAATTTCAGAAACAGGCAACATTATTAGATGAAAATTTGTAGGACTGCTTTCCAGCCTGAAGCTTCTCTTCCTGAACAGTTTAATAGTGAAGGGAAGAAAGGATAAGATTTTTTCAAGATTGTATTCTGGGCAGTTGCAATTAATCCAGTGGGGAGATAAGGGCTGATTTCGCACAAGGAGCTGCACCGCCGTTGAGCCTCCCTTTGCCCTGTTTCCATTGGTCCATTTCCCACTCGAAGCCGCATGGCCTCATTTTGACCCGCCTCAAAAAACAGGATCACGAAACCATGGGGAAAGTCAGGCGAAGCCGCAGGTCAAAATGCGGCCATGCGGCTTCGAGCGGGAAATGGACCAATGGAAACAGGGCAAAGGGAGGCGCGATGGCGGCGCAGCTCCTTGTGCAAAATCAGCCAAGCTTTACCCTTCCTTTCCTTAATCTAAAATAAGGGTAAGGGAAGTTGGAGTTGGGCAGAGAGGGAGTTGCTAGCAATTTGGCATGGAATGTAGTAACCCAGAAATATTTATTTCCCCATGGGCCAAAAGGTATCTCCGGAGGCCTTTTGCCATGGAAAAATATGTTTAACCACTGTATTTTTGAAGTTTCTATTCCAGGCTTACAAACATGGGTGAACCCCAGGGGACTTTTTAAACTGCAGTGAGAGGGAGAGAAAAATAGAGGACAATAGAACTGACAGATAGAAATACCAAGACAATTACAGAAAGAAAGAGAATCCCCTGCTAGAGTGTAACTTATCATTTATACCCTACTGAGGTGTAAATCCTTTCCTCTAGCTTCTGTCACACACCAATACCAACCAGTGCATAGATCCTACCTTACTTGGGCAGGCGGTTGATACCTTCCAGATCGTTCTAGAAAGTTCTGACCAGTTATTGAGTCAACAATGATATTCTAGCAACTTATTATTGTCATTACCTCCTCAATTTATCCTATTCAGACACCCCATACATAATGTTTACACAGCAAATATATGATCAACAATACTTCCACTGCCTTGAAACTCCTGCTCCTCTACTCCAAAAAGCCCCTAATCTCCCTATTTGGAACAATGATTGGCAAATTCCTCTTTTTTGTTATATGGATCCAGTCAACTGTTGTCCCTCAGGATGGGTCTGTCCTGGGCCCATTTACCCCTTAAACCAACTCAAAATAGCCAGGGACTTTCCACAGTTTTTTAAAAAAAACCTTCAACATGATCTACTTACAGGAAATTCCAAGTGTGCTACCCAAAAATGTCAAAGAGGCTTAAGCATCTGGCTTTCATAGGCACACAAAAGCCCAGTATTTGTCTGCTTTTGTGTGTTTGTCTATAAAAAGATAAAAGATCTCAAGCCATGTTAACAGTTGTGCAAAAATACACCTGTAACTGAATAAACATAAATCATAGACCTGGAAGTAAGTTGGTCATCTAGCCTGCACTGCAGACTAACAGTGCAGTATTCCCAAGAGACGATCTTCCAGTGCAGTTTTTTAAACCTCCATGGTGGCAAATTCACCAGTTTTCCACATGACCACTTATTCCATTGCTACACTACTCACTCATATAGTAAGTGTTTTTTCCTAGTAATATTCAGTGCATGTGCAGCCCCACAGTGAGACAGAAAGTGCTCCCCTGGGGCTGTTTTGGCTCAGGAAAATGGTGCCGGGGGTGGGGGGGAGGCCAAGGCTTCTCATTCTCCAGCACCATGGCCCTGATCTGAATTGAATATATTTCCCACATCTGCTGTGTCACTGCAGGGAAATTGAGTGAGGTTAGGATTCCCAACCTGAACCATTAAAGACCATATTGTGTAGTTTGGCCCACACTGTCTTCAGATCTCTCCACAAAACCCACCATTTTCCATAAAGGCTTTGGCACCAACCCTTAGTGCCCCATTACTATTTATACTCCAGCACAACTGATGAAGCAAGCTCTAAGTCAGTAATGTTTACACTGGAATAGATTTTGTTAGGCTTTCAGGTGCCGTTGGACTGTTATACTAAGCAAATGCAAAGAATGAGCTCATATTCTTATCCTGTTTATCCCTATTTCCACCTACCTACATTCCCTTTTGTTGTTGCCCTTATATAAAATTTTATATGGTATGATTCTCAGAGTAGGAACCTGTCTTCTTGCACTCTGTAAATTACCATGGACAATGAAAAATATTGTTCAACAAAACACACATCTGGCTAGTATCTTTCCTGATAGAGAGTTAGGTGCAGCTCAAAACACACTGGCCTTTTGCACAGGACTATCTCTAATTAATCTGCTTTTAGTTATTGGCCACTGATTTTCTGCACTGAGTTTTATGGAAGCTAAGCCACCATTGAGAATTAAAAAGGGACAGTGAAATGCCGAGTGGAGGCCACGCTGTTGAACATGCCTTAGAGGTCAGATTGGCTTATCATCACAGTATTTTGGAAGACAGGTGGTATGCATGCCTTTCCCACTGCAATCATTATCAGCTGCCTCTGTGCAATCTGCAGTCTCCAAGTAGGACAAAATGTTAATAGAGTGCCATGGCACGTTTGCTTTTCAGCATCCATCTGCAAACACGTCTCAATCAGGTTTTCATCATGCCCCCCGAAGTGGAAGGCCAAAGAGAATGCCTGCTATTACTTTTCATCTGGGACAAAACCCTGGAGCGAGTCTCTGTCATACTGTATTGGACAGAGTGCTCATTTGGTCTCTGTGGAATCTGATGAGGAACAGGTAAGCTCACCTGCCAAGAAACCAATGGACCTTCTCAGGCAGTTTACACATGGATGTGATTCCAGTGAAGCCAGAGGCCTGTACTCCATATTTTCTTTTTTTGCACAAATCAACATCATTCCATCTGTATGCAGAAAGCTAAGCAGTTGATTCTGGTTTGCAAATGACACTGTAATAGTGAAAGTGCAAATACTTCTAATAGTTAAAGTGCCACATGGAGGATTTGCCCTGCGAAAGGGATGGATTGAGGGTGCATCAAACGGGCACGATCATACCACAACATCTGGGAAGCGTAGCGCACCCATCTCCAACCCGTACCGTCAGCCCGAAGAAGCGGATTTAAAAGGCACTGGGGAAAAGGTAGTAGCTTCTGGTAAATGCGCGGCACGGGCGGGCGTCTGATCGGAGACGCGCAGGTAGCCCATGGCATCCAGCAGCCATCCGCGACCCGCACATGCGCAGTAACGCAGTACTGCCATGTTGCCTCGCTGGGACTACGCTGTTGCATCCCTGGTGTGATCGGCTGCCTACGGCCTGAGGACAGACCTGTGGGGGACCGCAAGATCACGCTCCTGCACTTCTTTTAGCTCCGCCTCTAAAATGCCTCCCTTCCAGTGCGGATTTTCCCGCTCGTGTGACCGGGGCCTAAGTATAGTTATATCATGCTACTTATTCATAAAGCTCTGAATCTGTTAGCTTGGATAACTAATCAAAAGGTGCATTTTTATTAGCATTCAGATTGCTGTGCAAGAATGAACAGGAACAAGGAAATACAAGAAAAGCCTGCAAGAACATTTGGTATAGTGCTATTGACTGGAGACAGCACAATCATAACTATTTGCAATTTATTTTACAGTTCTCCTCAGTTTCTCTGCAGTTGTGTTACCCTTGCCACTCCTTATCTTGGGACTTCCACCTTTTTCTTTTGCTTCTTAATTTCTCACTGCAGATATCTGCTGGTCCATGTGGCTCTCAGCAGCCTCAAACAGTCATAGATTGACGATCCCACCAAGGCCTTGGATCCGAGTGTTAGCATGAAATAGAAGGTAGAGATGCAGATAGCCCTTTGGCCTCCCTCAGTTAGGAGTGCCCAGACTGAGGGAGAGCAGCAGATACAGCAGAACTTTATATCTATCACATAGGATTGGCTACCTGGGTTAACCTGCAGCTTCTCAGGAGGATTTTGGCATATGGAATTGTGCCTTGACTTGAATGGTCTTCTTTCAGTAAACTGGGTGATAGCAGAATGTAAAAAATCAGTGTCTGTCCTGCTTTGAGCCCTATGGTGCCTGACAAGTTCCAACCTGACCACAGTAAAGGTTCTACCTAGTTTTTGAGGATGGCTAGCCAGGTGATTTTCCCAATCTCAGTAACTCAGTATCATCCCTGAGTGATAGCTGCCATATTCTTAATTTGCATTATTTAATCTTTCAGTGCTCTAGTTTGGTGGCAAGGTGTATTTGCTTTCTATCAAATGTCCATCAAGTATATCTAAAGAACTATAATGCCCCTTTACCTCTTTTTTTCTACATTAGATTCTTTTTAATTCCAGGAATTTCTGAGAAATACTATCAGTACCAAAGGAACACACTGGTTGGGTACAACAGATAAAGAACAAGATGAAAAATGGAGATGGAGTGAAGATGGTAGCGTTGTAAGTATCAGGTGAGTACATTTTTTTTGTATACCAACTTCTGTTTATACAATTGACTGTTTTCTTTCTCAAAAGCTCTGCTTTATTTTGGTGGATTTAAAACTACATATTAAGGTATATAGACTCAAATTTTATTACATAACATAAAGACCACTCAAAATTGTTTGGGGTCAGTTTTTATACATCAGTGCACATCTCAGCAGTATGGTTAATGGGTCTCTAAATGCAAACAAAAAACTTTGAATTTTCTATAAAATTCCACAAATTCATTAATGAGGACTTTAAAAAATGTGAATCAGATTATAAACTTTCTCATGTTTCACTGTCATAATTATTTTTGTCTTCTGCTCTTTGATTACATCATAATCCAAACATTTATGAACACATTTAAGTCTGATAATTCTTCCATTTAACTCAGAATTGTTTACTCTGGTGTATGACCATCTGACAGTGCCATCCTAAATAGAATTAACATCCTTCTAAGTCCTCTGAAGTCAATGGGTGTCACTCTGCTTGGGTGTGCTCTGCCACTGAGCTAAAGTTCCCTCATCACTCTCATATTAATATACCTCATCAACTATGTTACTTTAAAAAAATAACCCTCCTTTATTGAAGATGAATGCTTTATTGAGTTCAAAGATATTTGTCAGATCTAACTAGTGTTTTTTACTTGCTGCTATTTCTTCTTCTGTTCTCTGACCTATCAATTATTGATTCTTTAACTTCACACTTTTTGTATGAGTTCCTGTTCTTATTTTGGCCTTTATTTAGTGAAGAAAAGATTAACTCTGTATTACATGCTTTATATTAATTTACGGTAATTTGCAAATCAATACCTAGTACACCATTCAGTAAAAGTATAAATTTGATTTTTTTTTCAATTGTTTCTTGCTTTGGATACTTGAAAAGCAGCATATGCCGTTTCTATCTGCATGAATTACCTTTCATATACAATCTATTCTAGAATGACATTTGTATGGTTCAGTGTTGTCTTTATAAGTTTGTAAAAGAAGCTTCCTTCCACAAAATCTGCAATTAAAAAAAAATAGGATTAGAGGAAAAACTGACGAGAAACTGATCTGGTCTGTAAATACTTGCTAATATTAATATTAAAATTGCACTTCAACCTCTAACTACAGTGTGACTCATAAGATTGTTTTTCCCCTCAAAAACACAAAATGAGATGCAGTTTTTATCATTATTGCAACATGTGAGTTCCAGGAACATATACTTCTCCAATTTTCCTTCTATTTACATAATGAAAATGCTGACTTAAAAGAAAAGGAATCACATCTGTTGACCAACTTTCTTGCTCTTGATGCCAATGTATAAATTTATTTCAAAATTAAAAAAAACTAATTTATTCAAATTTTTACTTGTAAGAGCCCATGGAAATAAAGAGGGACTAGCTTGTATTCTAGATTAGAGCTAATTATTTCTGCTGTAACATATTTAACTGATTGATACTAATTTTCTCCTGCTGGCTTTTACCATAGAATCAGACATTTGAATATGTATGATTGTTCTATGCAGGGTATTTATTAAGAGTGCTTTTCCATCATTAAACAGGATATTTATTATTGATTTCTCTTCATTTCCTGCTCTGATTTTTCTTACCTTCACTTATAGTTACTTATTTAGCACTTTGCATGAAGATCATCCTTAAGTGTAATTGCTCCAAACAAGTATAAATCTAATATTTTTGGGGGGGGGGATTTCTTCAGCATCTTAATTCTAAAATATATCCATTTTCTACTTTATTTTATTAACAGGAAGCTCCCCTTATATTATATTCCCACCTTCAATAATAATTTTAGCAAAAGTTTTCTGCAGATTGTATTAAAGAATGTGGGCGTATGGATCTTCCTTCCATCTCAGTTTAATGTAAACTGCACAGGACTGAATACTGTATAGTGTGGGAAGATTGAGATCCATTCCTCATGGTACAGCTATTGATGTGTATATGTTGGTGTAATTATCTCTGATCTTTTTTCTAGCTTTTGGGATATCGGGGAACCAAAGAAGGGTTATAACAAAGACTGTGGTATCATGTACCCTAATGGGTCATGGGCAGCTGATGCATGTTCCCTTCCGTATCACTGGATTTGCAAAAAGCGCCTCATCTGCTGAGATGCACCTTGGATCGGCCCCTGGGACTGGACTGTGCTGTTTTACATACCCCTATTTTGTTGTGGAATGTATTCCAACTCCCCAGCACCTAAACTGAAAATTATATATTTTGTCATTTATCCTTTCTTCTGGGCAAGAAGGAATTCCATGTGTCAGTTATGATCCCACATTAGCCATAACAGACCTCAGAGATAGATAATAGCCCATCACACATGGGTGTTTTCCCTTGCTTTCACTGTGCATGTCCATTCAGTTTTCTTTTTCATTATGCATTGATTTTCCTCCCTTCAACACTCACTTTGCTTTCTGATTGCTATCCTCCCTTCAGCACTCACTTTGCTTTCTGATTGCTGTTTCCACGGGTTTTCTGAGAGTGATTCTGTGCTGATTTTTCCCTTGTTTCGCTTTCAAGACTAAGGTAATTCAGATTCCCTTGGATTCCCCCTGCCCCTTTGCCACCCCTTGAAGGTCACTCCCCTGCCCACATGGAGGTTGTTCCACCAACTCTGCACCTTCTATCATCCTTCCCCCTTCATCAGTGTACAAACTCCATTGATTACTTTTTCCCTTGTTATTTTAATTTTTTTATTTTTTTGGCAAGCAGAATGAGTCTAGTGATATGAGACTATTGCTAGTCCTGAATTGCTGAATAATAAAAATTTTAAATGATGGGGGGGGGGGTTTAAAAGACGCTGTGCGAGGTTTAGTTCCCTTCTGGTATTGAATGAAAGGGGGACTGGAGAGGTGGCAAACGGTGGTGTCCCCAGTACAAAAAAGAAAAAGAAAGAAAGCAAAGAAAGGATTTCAGTGCTGCATGCAAACAAAATAAAGGGGGGGACCATCAGCATGGAATGAAATTGACATGAGATGTAAAGAGAGAAACACGTGGATGGGAAACCTAAAGCTTTGAAAACAGTTTTCCTTTTATTCTTTTAGTGAACAAAGTTTTTTGGGGGGCACCTTTTGCCTGCATTCCTTTCTGTTCCCTTTCATTCAACAAACTAATGCTAAGATGCATGCACAAAACCTGAGCCACAAGGATTTAAATGGAAGGTGCTTGCTGGATGCAACTGTGCAGCTGCAATAGGACAATTGCATACTTTTTAAAAACGTTGGATACCCCTCCACACATGTCACAAGTGACATTCCCACCCCATTTAGAAAAGTGTGGGTTTTTATTGTAGCTGCAGAATAAATACACTGGAGGAAAAAGAATGGTGCATACGGAGGGCACAGACTCTAAAGTCAAGCTTAAAGGCTTACTGCTCAGAAAATCTGCAGTATAATGTGCATGTGTAATAGGCCCCTGTGACAAGTGAAACAATTTTCATTCTTACTGAAGGTAAGGGTGTCTGTATTCCCATAGGATCCCACAAATGCCCTCTCACACATTTGGATAGGTGAGAGACCAGTCCCACTGAGTGTGGGTTATCAAGGTGAGGAATAATTCCAGAGATGTAGCCATGTTAGTCTGTTGCAACAAAATTAAACAAGAGTGCATAAAAAACGAACAAAATATCCCTGCTCAAATAGGCCTGATCACCCAAATTAGGCATAAAGTAAACCTACTCTAACACATGATCAAATGCAAACAACCATACCACATCTGGAGCCATTTCCCTCCACCCATTTCTCGCGGGCTTTTTGTTGGTTTTAAAAAAATCTCACTAGTTTAATACTCACTAGAGTATTAAAACACTGCAGTGATATACAAACTACCAGTTAAAAGAACCCTACCAAACAGCTTGCTGGAAGTGGAATAGAGGGGGATATGGGAAGGAAGACATGAACACTCATGAAGCTGCCTTATACTGAGTGAGACCATTTGTCCATCAAGGTCATTATTGTCTACTCAGACTGGCAGCAGCTGTCCAGGGTCTCAAGCAGAGGTCTTTCTATCACCTGCCACCCGATCCTTTTCACTGGAAATACCAGGGATCGAGCCTGGGATCTTCTATGTGCCAAGCAGATCCTCTGCCACCAAACCACTTATTGTATGTGATTACACATATCTTCTCATGTTTGGCTGTCCACGTGGATCTGATTCATGGACGCCGGTTCCCTGTGCCTCCTTCCACAGGGCTGTGTCCCATGGCTCTGGAAATGTATGAAATGAGGGAATCATGTGAGACGTTCTGAAACCTGTGTTCTCCACCCACTCGCAAGTTTGCTCCACTGGCATTGACACATGAAAACTTCCTGAATGATCCACATAATTTTTCTACACATATTATCATTTGATCTGTTCTCAGAGCAGTGTGGGATGCAGCCATGGTGAAGGCTATGCTCCTGCAGAATGCAGAGGGCTGGACTGGATGACCTGCAAGGTCCCTTCCAACTCTAACATTCTATGATTCTATGAAGGAGCACTCACATGCTTGGATAACAAATTTATTTGGTCTTTTAAATAATACTTTGGATTGGGTTTTATAATGCTTTGGATTTGTCTTTTTCTAGCCTTGGAGCTGTATGATTCATTGCACAGGTGTCCAGGAGGCCCCTTAAATTCACAAATGTATTGAAGTTTTGTTTTTTAAAGAAAAGGATTTCAATTTTACTGAGTGGGGAGTATATTTATTGTGATAATATTCCGTATCTTTACTGATGCATCTATCGTGCAGGTTTCTCCCAACATTAATTAACAAACCATGGCAAAGAGGAAATTAGGAAAGTTAAGCAATAAATACGATTGGTACTTAAAGAAAACGTAGCTGATAAACCACAAGCAGCTTGATTCATCCAGGACATTAGTATCATATTGATATCTGATGTTCGTAAGTGGGATTTTTATCTTTTATTTACCCTAGAGGTCTAGATGTCCTTCAGCATATGAAAGATGCCCTTTTTTATGAGAAGCTCTTCATGCAGAGAAAAAGAGCACATCAAGTAGCCCTTGTCCAATCTGGCCTAGCAGCACAGTAATAGGGGTGGGTATGGGACAGACAGCTTTGTTGTAAGGCAGAAATAGCCACTGTTCCAGGATATTACATGTTTGCTTTTTTGAGCACTGTAGCACCAGAGAAAAAGAAAGGGCAGACTCAATTTAGAACTAAGTTTCAGGAGGGGAAAAAAACCCCTCACAGAATCTCAGATCTGGGTTTCAGAATCCTGCTGGCATTGACCAGGACTTTCCCTCTCATTTTAAAAAGCTGAATAAGTACTTTGACCAGAATGGTAAAACCAGCAATTGCCTATGATGTAAACAGGGGAGGGGAAGAAATATAGACTTCAAACAAGGTAATGTCAAGGGCAATGAACTAGTCTAGGCGGAGAAATTCCCACCGCAAGATTCTATGCTGTGCTAGGTGCTGTGTGTTCATTATCACATTAAATGCCACTGTCAGACAAGTAGATGTTCTTTTTCAAGAGGACTTCAGAGATTGCTGTAAATAGAAGCAGTAATTACTGGTGAGAGAGAAATGAGTTAAGCCTGTGTATTAATCTTGTCTTCGTAAAGGTAGCAGGGTGGTCACATGGTATAAGCTTTCTAAACTGCTGGTATTTTAGGGGAGAAAAATAAAATTTGACTTTTTAAAACCACACCACTTTGCATAATCCCCAAAGGAAAATTTGCAAGTTTACTTTGATTGCTTTATAGCATTTTATAATCAGCCTGTGCTCATTCTTATTCACTAATCGTTATATGCATAATTCTGACATTATTTCCTTTTCAGTGGCTCGATGATTCATTATTTACACTTATGTACTGGGTTTTAAAAGTTTTGATCAGTTATCTTTCATATCATGTTCAATAAAAAGTTCTTTTTGAAGTTGTGCTTTGTTTGCTTTGTGGAATCTTTTAATCCCCTTCTTTGATGGCTATTCCAAAATTCACCAACTGCAAGAAGATCCTATCCATGTTTACTCTAAAACACGCCCCATGGAATCTGGTGTATTCATTTCTCCCAGGTGTGTGCATTGGTCTACAGCATTAGTCATAAGATGCCACAACACATTCTCTTACTGCTGTGACAAAATAAGAATGTAAGAACACAAGAGAAGCTAATGTTGGATCAGGCCAGTGGCCCATCCATAAGAACATAAGAGACGCCAATGTTGGATCAGGCCAAAGGCCCATCCAGTCCAACACTCTGTCACACAGTGGACAAAAATACCAGGTGCCATCAGGAGATCCATCAATGCGGACAGGACACTAGAAGCCCTCCCACTGTTGCCCCCCCCAGCACCAAGTATACAGAGCATCACTTGCCCCAGACCAAGAGTTCCTATCTATGTCTTGTGGCTAATAGCCACTGATTGACCTCTGCTCCATATGTTTATCCAATTCCCTTTTGAAGCTGTCCATGCTTGTAGCCGCCACCACCTCCTGTGGCAGTGAATTCCATGTGTTAATCACTCTTTGGGTGAAGAAGTACTTCCTTTTATCCGTTCTAACCCGACTGGTCAGCGATTTCACTGAGTGCCCACGAATAACATGGGTGTTCTTTGCCAGGTTCTGTTTTAAAAGCCTATGGGATTCAGTACAGGACTGCTGCAAAAGAAGAAGAGAAGAGGAGAGAGGAAATTGGATTTATACCCCACCCTTCACTACCCAAAGGAATCTCAGAGCGGCTTACAATCTCCTTTCCCTTCCCCTCCCCACAACAGACACCCTGTGAGGTAGGTGGGGCTGAGAGAGCTCTGACAGAAACTGCTCTTTTTCAAGAACAGCTTTGCCAGAACTATGGCTTGCCCAAGTTCATCCAGCAAGTGGAGGAGTGGGGAATCAAACCCGGTTCTCCCAGATTAGAGTCCACACACTTAACCACTACACCAAACTGGTGTAAAAGTATGTCATCTTGTCTTACGTGTATGCCCCATCTTCTTTGTCTGTTGGGGGGAAGCTTTTTTTGATGGATAGAAAAATCAAAGAGAAAGTTGTTCAGGGGGAGAGAGAGAGAGGCCATTTCCACACAGGTCATTTGCCTGGAGTTCAATGCCATTGGGAAGTGGGTTCCCCCCCCCCCTGCTGTCCCAAAGCATCATGGTGCATTCATGTGTCTCCTGTGGTTTCTTTGGCTTTTCTCCAATCTTTTATAAACATGTTTTGCTGCAAAGTTTTGGGAAGGATCGTAGCAAAGCCTGGATGGCTGCCATGTGGGTGGGAAACTTCAGTATCAGTCCCGCCTACACATCAGCCATTTTCCCAGCCCCATCCCTGTGGCGATCATTTACGCTCCATGTCATCAAGAGGCTTTTGTAAAATCAGCAATGGAATATCATCTATATATCTAATTCTGAACAGTCTCCTCTGCAAGTGGATAATTTCCACAGATAGGGGGCTCACTCCCCACACAGGTTTTTCTACAGA